ATATGTGCTCGAAGTGCAAACTGAAGAGAAGCCTACACTGTAAGTAAGCAGAGCATTTAAATACACAAATTGGTATGAATAACTTTATATTGGGCTATAAATGTTCGCATATGTACATATTTATGTACATATGTATAAAGGCATGCCGATCAGTACCTGGAATGCATTCCTGTATGCATCTACATATGTATTTACTTTCTATATGCCAATATTTTCGAATCGTTGGAATTCAACTCCACTACGTTGTACATATGTATGTACATATGTACATAGTGTATTATTGTAGACTCATGTATGTATGTATATTCATAAGATTGCAAGCATAAACACCCATCAAAAAGATTGACATAGACAAATACTCAGTGACATAGTCCACCTTAAATATTTACCATTAGATACTGATAAGACAAAACTACATATTTTCACATTATTCATGCTTACCGCTATTTTTTCTAATTACTTTACAGCGCCATTATAGGCTATTGCATTTGCTTCTACTCCTACTCAACATGGCAGGGTAAAACATACTTTCTTGAAGATGTTTATGTGCGTCCCGCATATCGTGGCTTAGGTGCTGGTGCTTACATTTTCCGTGCTGTTGCAGCTAAAGCGAAGGAATACAATTGTCAACGTTTGGATTTTCATGTGCTCGGTTGGAATCCGGCGCGAAAATTTTATGACAGAATGGGAGCTATCGATTTAACAGAGACTGAGGAATGGCATTTTTATCGTGTAAATGCTGAGCAAATTGAAAAATTGGCCAATGAGCTGTAAAACTATTTAAGTAAAACAATTAAAACAACAAAAATGCTGTGCATATGCGTACAAACGTTTGTATATATTTGCATTTTTTTTAATGATGCAAATGTGTATACATTTAAAAAATGTACATTTAAAAAATTTTGGAGCAACCAATTTTATTTTGAATAAAATAGCTTTAATTACAATGTTTTGACTAAAATTAAAGTCCATTAAATACTATATATTCTTACCCAAAGTTGTAAATACACTAACCAGATTATTTTCAGAAATGGAAAACAAACCAAAAACTAAGCATTTAAGCCGGGGAGTATTTTTCGAAATTTTATAGACTTTCTGAGTCTTATTCAAATGCATTCTAGCATTTAAGAGCGTTTTATCATTTCTGGTAACCTCTTTTAGTACAAGCAAACAAAAAACTTGAATAAATGTGATGCAAAAATATTCAGTAAAATATTAGAAAAAGAATTTGGCTAGTACCTTTCCACCTTAGAGTAATAATGTAGTACATCAGTTCTACAGTAAGCATATTTAGCAAAAATGCATCAATGCAATGAGTCAGTAGTATCATTCTCTTATAGATTTTAATAAACAAACTTTTTTGTTTATGAATACGAACACTTTTTCTTTCAAAAAATTGCAACAATAATACTTTCACCGATTGCCATCGAAAATGTAGAATATCTTGAGTAATTAGTAGATATTGTATATATATTAAGGCTTACTTCTACTGTTCTCCATTGCTGCTGGCTATAACATGTATCTGCATACTCTTTGTGCTATTGTAAACTTGCCCTTGTGGAAACGGATGTACTTTGGAATGTGTGTCGGTTTTGTTTTTGCCACCAGCCGTGTAGCGTGATAGACGTATATTGGGCATAGGGAGAAATCCAGTACTCAACGGCATAACATCCAATGATATTGAATGACTCTCGACATCCTTCATTGATACAACACCTAAAATGACAAAACAAGGAGAGGTCAAGCTTGACTTTTCGATTGCGAAGAAGCTATAAATAAGGTAAACAGCTAATTTAAGATAAGCGTTATTTTACATAAATTCCTTCTTACTAATTTACTTACCACATACTTTTCGTAAAAGTTCAATTAAAATAAAGAGAGATTATTACTAAAGTGTAAAAATATGAAACACTTTGTGTATATACATAAATAAAAATATAAAATTGTAAAAAATAGGGATTCCATGTTCGCCTTCAATCTGGCAGTAATATGCGAAATAAAACGAAAATATTGTATTCCTAGTCTATCAATGACTGTCTGTTGTAACAAAATTTTTGACAATTTTATGGAGAAATAAAGTTTAATGCTTATAAATATAGTACATAGTTATTTAATTGCAGAATATTTTCCGATTCAAAAGACATGCTATATATTTATGTATTGCCGAGTTTAAAAAAAATTCAAACTTTTGCTTCAACTAAAATCCCTTATTTTTACTAAACTTTCTAAGGAGCACAAAGAAAATGTCTGCACTCAAAAATGCATGTATAACCAACCTGCCGAGCGTCCACAAACGGCCCATAAATTCTGATCGCTCAGCACTTCGTACATTAGGTCCACGTAGGGATTTTCATGCACCTTCGTGATTTTCAAATTCAAATTGCAAACTGAACGCAAACGACATAGCTCATTGGGTTCAAGCTGTGTCTGCACTTTGAAGAGCGTTGTATAGTCCACCAAATCGAAAGCGCATCCATAATTTCGCAAAAGTTGTGGCTTCTCCACAGTTGAGTATTTTGTCATAAAGTGCACTTTGATTACCGCTGGCAGCTCGACCTCTGCTTTTAGCGGCTCTACTTGTATTTCATACAAGTACGAAACCGTTAGACCTTTGTAAATTTGCTGCATGGAAAAAGTGATACAATTTTAAATAAATCGTTATATATAATTATGTTTTCTTCCCCCACATACCACATGAGCCTGTGACGGTGGATTTAAATCTATTAAACGCACACCTGCAACATCGCATTTCACCTTCGCCTCTGTCAAAAATAAATTCGCTTCCAAGCCTTTCATAACCACATGCAAAAACTTTTGCGTACCACAAGTGTGTAGTCGGCATTGTGCCTCCAGTGCGGGCTGAAAATCAATAGCTATCTGCAACTCATTGCGTGACCAAGGGCATGATAATGTAACATAGTGTTCCAAGTGTTTAGAAATCTTACGTCCAGGCAAATCCGTCAACACTTCTAACGGGATTTCACGCTCCTCGAAAGATTTGAAATTTGGCAGAGGCACCTGCAATATGCTATCGAATGTGGAATCATCATCAGGATTGGCAACAGTTTTTGAGTCTTTGACGGTTTTCTTCTGTACAATGTCATTATCGTTGGACGCCGGAATTTTTGGCTCCTCTACTTGTTCGTTATCCTGCTCTACAGCCAGCTTGTCTATTGAACGCGCCATCCGTATGCGCAAATTTTTCGAACATTTCAATACAATTTTTGCATCGGCTGGGAAAATAAAACTACCGCCAGAAACTGTCAAACGTATTGGCTGTTCAATGCCTGCAATCAAATTCTTGAAATTTAACACTGCCGCAGCCGGCTTGGTAGTGATAACAAAAGGTGGCGCTCTGAAGGGAATTTGCTCAGAGAAGAACTCCAATTGTGATATGGAAATACGCATCTGCAATCAAAATAGAAATTTACATTCACATCCTTTAGTTCATTAAATATTTAAGTTATAGTCATACCTGCTTGAAATCCCAAGTACCAACTCGCGTTGCCTTGGATTTTAATTCAATGAAATTATTGCCCGGCTGTATAGCGATATTCTCAGTAGCTACGAAATTTGTGAAATCTGATTGCACGCTAGGCGAAAGCTTGCGTTTGGTGCTACTCGTGCGGCGCACTGGCTGCTTCGCTTTGGGCACGTCGCATTCAACTGAGGCGCAATCCAGGGTATTGTCCTGTTTGTAGTCCAACCGCAGTGACATTTTCAGGCGCGATCCCTTGAGTGGCGATGATGTCGGTGTGCTGAGGAATTTCTTATCTTTGCAGCCACTAACCGACACAATCAAAGGTGGCGTTGCTACCTCGCTCGTAAGTGGTGAAACATGCATTTCGTAGCATAATTGTATGCTTTCAGCAACAACTTCGCGGGGATAGAAGCTCTCCAGCTTTAATTGCACTATTACAATATCATCTTGTATTATGGGTTCCACATTCATTACATTTATGTCGCATATTCGAAAATGATCTTCAAGCACGCAAAAATTAGCATTCTCCATGGACGGTTGTGCGGATAGTGTGGTTGTTAATGTCTTAACCGATTTCAGAAATTCATCGAAATAAAATGAACGCACCAACATTTCCAACTCCTGACAACACGAAATTGAGCTACATGTCTTGGTGTAAGCCAACGAATCGCCCATTTTGCGATAGCAATTGGCCAGTTCCAGCAGTGTTTGTGAACTTAGCGCATGCCAATTCTCCGCCTTTAATTCGCGTAACAAATCAGTAAAGAAACCTACGGCCTTATGCGGTTCATTCAGAGCGCAGTAAAAATTGCCTAAATCCAAGCCAACCAGACGCGCCGAACGGTGACGGGAAACGTGTTTGTACGTACTAATGGCTAGTTCTGCCAATTCCAAATAAAGTTTTTGGAATGCTTGATTTGAGCCCAAAGCTTCCTTCAATTGTTCGGTTGCTGATTTTTTCGGTCGCCGATTTGGAGAGCGGTCCCGTTTTTGCTCTGAAATCTGAGGTGTAGGGTTCAAGAATTGCGACTGCTCGAGTGGCGTATCACCAATGCCAGCGGAGAGTTGCACGACTATATGCAACTGCTCGGAAGTGGGCGTAAAGCCGGGAAGCAGGCCACATAGCTTTCCCAATTCATACAATTTGTCTTTGGCCAGATTCCAGATGGGGGCACAATGTTGAAAGCAAACCATTTCGTTTGGCTCCATAGCCTGCTCGCAAGTCTGTAGAACTTCTAGCGCGCAAACGAATTCCCAGCAAGATAATGCACCCTCGGGTGTATCTAATTTTACGAGTTCAATTTCGCGCAATGTAGAAAAAAGAAAATTTAAAAGCCTTCTGGCTATTTCTGGGGTTTCATTGCTTTGTTGCAGCAGATGTGCTTGTCGTTCAAATAAGTAATTGCGAAATTCCAGTATTGAAACAGGGCTTTCTTTGATTTTTTTGCGTATCTCAAATTTGTCACGTCTATTGAGGCAAATACCATGGAAAAAGCTTAATGGTTGCTTGAAGTATTCCAGCCATTTTTGCTTTTCGCCAAAGCCAGAATTAGTTATGAATTGTGAAAACATAGCGTCCAACTCGTCATATTGTATGAGGGCTTCAGTGTGCAATTCTAGTTTCTCGAATATCAAAGCTAGATCTTCTTGCATAAAGAAGTATTGCCGAAAGTCCCAACCATCATGGTTGCGCTTTTCGCGTCTGCTCCGCATAAGCTCTTCGTATTTGGCAATGTTACGGTTGAAACTGGCAAGCATTAAGAACCTACGAATGTGAATGTATTAGTGAAAGAAAATCATAAGGCCCTGAAGCATAAACCTGATGCGCTGCACTAAACAACGGAACGACTCAGCCGATTTCTGTTCGAACTTTGCTGGATTCAAAACTGATATACAACGGTCATCATTTTTTGTAGCAAAGTCCTGTCGTATCTTATCTAAAACTGTGGTGCGTGGCAGCAAATTTTTTGCTTTTCGAACGTCCAATGTCTCGACCAACAAAATCATCCAATCAGTTATACCATAAGTTGTCAGTTGTCGAAGCCAGTTTTTTATTTCTTCCTGCGCGTTTGCCTTATATGTATCCAAGTCCTGAGTAGTTTATAAATATATGAAATATATTTCAAAAATTACTGTTTATATACATATGCATATTTACATTGCACTCTGCAACGAAAATATGCAGAATGGGATGCTCCAATATACTCCATTCTCCCTTTTTGTACTTCTCCAGCGCACTCACATTGAATGGCTGGGTTTGCGCTTCTAAACGCACTTGTTTGGATGGACGATGGTACGTACGTCGCCATTCGCATGTATCCAGTGGAATAGCATTCAAAATTTGTGCCTCCAGTGATCGAAAAAGTGGTCCAGCTCCAGCATCTGGGGAGTGAAATTTCGCTGTATTTAAAACCAAGATTTTTCAAAGTTCCTTCACTCACATGTTATTATTGGTTTAATATTCATATTTAGATAAAAATTACGACTTTTACGTTTATTTATCGGAAAATTAGTTTTTCCCGTCCAACAAAATTTGTAAACGCAGACGAAAACTGCTGCCACCGCAATCAGTTGTGTTTGACAATCGGGAAGTAAATAAATAAACAGAGAGTCCAATTGGATATTGCTTACCAGAGTTTATCAAGTTTTCAAAATAAACTAATAAAATAAACAAATTCACCCCGATTGCAATACGTGACCGTATGGGCTCTGACACACGGTCAGTAATTATCACGATTTTTGGATCGCGATTTGGATTGATCGATCGCGCATGAATGTTACATGTTCAATATTTATCGCGTCAGTATTTGCATAACTTTTGTGCAAAATATTTTTATTTTGTACGTATAATTTATAGATAATGCATTCCGCAATTATTTTAAAATTTCCAATGTTAATTAAAAATTTTTCAATTTGTTGTGGAAGGTTTCAACCAAAGAACGTACGTTCTTTGGGCAGATTTTTCACGGAATTTCTGGCAACACTAGGGTGTCCCTCCACTTTGCACGTTGTCTAACACTGTCCAGTAATCAATCTCATTTGCAAAATGTCAACAAATGCACCCACAAGTGTCAAAAACGAGTCCCACTCATAAGCGAGAAGAGTGAAATTACGGTTTTGATAAAAAATTCGATCAATGAATTAGTGAAATTTAAATAATAGCTTTAGAAGTCTTCGAGCTAACGAGAGCTTTTATATAGAAAGTGATGGAAAGTCTTTTCGGTCGCGGCCATGATGGATACGTGGGTCGCGAAGAACATATTGTAAGCAACCTCTTCCCCTTACCCTCTTCTAACACAGTATTATTTATAGTATCTTGATTTTTATCTTACATATTTTATCACACCAGAAAAAATTGCAAGCAAACAACTCCGAAGATGACAATCTAGATGAACTCCCACCAATGATGGAAGAGCTATGTGTTGCAGACGGTCTGCGACCTAGTCCTGGCGGTCCCTTTTCCGCTTTAACACCTTCCATGTGGCCGCAGGAAATTCTAGCGAAATTGGGGCAACCTGAATCTGAGGCTGCGGGTCCTAACGACCAGCCAGACTATCGATTCGACGAATTTGGTTTTCGTGTGGAGGAAGAGGATGGTCCAGAACAAAGCTCGAATAAACTGCTTTCGCAACCATTTGTAGAAGATGCACAGCACCGATTGCAATGGATTGCACATTTAGAATTTTCACATAACAAAGAGGCTACGGAATTGACATGGGAGAATGTGGATGTTATGCTGCCACGTACCGAAAAGTTGCGAAATATGGTTCGTGAAGGTATACCACATTCTCTGCGAGCACAAATGTGGATGCGTTTATCTGGTGCGCTGGCGAAAAAACAAAAAGGCGAAACAAGTTATCATGATATAATTAAGGGTATGAGTATTTTCTTTAATTAGGAAGTTAGTATTGACGCATTTCTGTTTTAAATTAGCTTCAGGGAATGATCAACTTATGACCTCAAAACAGATTGAGAAGGATCTGTTACGCATATTACCAACAAATGCGTGCTTTAGCAATCCGCACGGAACTGGAATACCACGACTGCGTCGCATACTTCGCGGCATCGCCTGGCTGTTTCCAGATATCGGTTATTGCCAAGGTACTGGTGTAATAGCTGCTTGCTTGCTGCTGTTTATGGAGGAAGAAAATGCTTTCTGGATGATGGCGACTATTGTGGAAGACTTATTACCCGCATCATACTATTCTTCAACTTTGTTGGGCATACAAGCTGATCAACGTGTCATGCAGACGCTTATTGCAAATTATCTAACATCCGTTGATGAGACGCTAAAGAAGCATGACATCGAATTATCGCTTATAACATTGCACTGGTTCTTGACGCTTTTTGCAAATGTTGTGCACATGAAGATTTTGGTGCGCATATGGGATTGGTTTTTCTATGATGGTAGCATAGTACTCTTTCAACTCACATTGGGTATGCTGAAGTTGAAGGAAAAAGATTTACAAATCTTGGAAAACTCTGCTCAAATATTCAACTCATTGTCAGACATACCGGGTGAAGTGGATGATGTAGAGGTAAGTGATGCGAGGCCAAACGCTGTTATATAAATGATTAAAATTAAGTATGTTTACAGATTCTCTTTAATCAAGCACTTGAAGTTGGTGGCTCTTTGAGTCAAACCGTCATCGATACGCATCGTCGACGTCATCTGGCCTATCTTATGGCCGATCAGGGTGGTCTTGTTGGTAATCCCGAGGCCGTCCCAAATCTGCCCAAACAACATTTGGCACGTCGGCAAGTGCGAAAAAGTAAATCCATATTAGAAACATTGCTATTTCGAGGAGACAATGATTCCGATGAGCTAAAAAATAAGAATATAAGGCAGACGGAGATTCTAGTCGACTTGCGTGAGGCAATATTAAAAGTAGCACGCCACTTTATAACCATCGAACCGAAGATAGCTGCTCACATACAACTGACAGCAAATTACAGCACTGATTCGCATGCAAAAGACCATGAAAATTTCATCAATGTCGCACGTCGACGGCAACGAAGAGCAAAGGCCTTACATGATTTCGAACGTCATGATGATGATGAGTTGGGCTTCCGCAAAAATGATATCATCACTATAATAAGTCAAAAAGATGAACACTGTTGGGTGGGAGAACTGAATGGATTGCGTGGCTGGTTTCCGGCCAAATTTGTCGAGTTGTTGGATGAACGTAGCAAGCTGTACACTTCTGCTGGTGACGATGCAATTTCCGAAACTGTTACAGATTTAGTGCGTGGCACACTTGCGCCATCCATCAAGGCTTTTCTCGAGCATGGTATGAAAAGACCATCTTTTTTGGGAGGTCCCATACATCCGTGGCTTTTCATCGAGGAAGCGGCTACGCGTGAAGTTGAAAAAGATTTCGAATCGGTATACAGTCGATTGGTGCTATGTAAGACGTATCGCCTAGATGAAGATGGCAAAGTGTTGACTCCAGAAGAGCTGTTGTTCCGTTGCGTGCAAGCAGTAAACCAGTCTCATGATGAAGCGCACGCGCAAATGGACGTGAAGTTGCGTTCATTAATATGTCTTGGCTTGAATGAGCAAGTGTTGCATCTATGGTTGGAAGTACTGTGTTCTTGTCAGGATGTTGTGCAAAAATGGTACTATCCCTGTAGTTATATTGACTCGCCGGGTTGGGTGCAAATAAAGTGTGAGCTAAGGATACTTTCACAATTTGCTTTCAATTTGAATCCTGACTGGGAATTACCACCAAAAAGAGGCAAGGAATCTCAGCCACTGAAAGATGGTGTGCGCGACATGCTGGTTAAGCATCATCTCTTCTCATGGGATTTGTGAGTCTTGTAGTAGTAGCATATGGAGAAGAAAGTGCATTTGTTTATTTTTAGTTAAGTATGTGTGTAGAAGATTGTATAGCCACTAAACTATGTTTTAAGAGTAAAAATGTGTTTTTGTTAAGTTTTAATGTTTTAGTTTAAACATTCCCTTAATGGCGGTGGTAAAAGATTGAACTCTGCCGCATTTAGTTGTTTAGCCACAGGTTGAACAAATTTTTAATAATTTTAATTAAAAATATCGAAATTCTTAGCTATGCAAATGCTTATACAATACAAACCTTTGGCAACTACTTACATACATGCTATATACAAGCAAAATTATGCAAATAAACTGAAAAATAGGTGAAGTTCTTCAAACTATCTTACTAACATTTTAAAATGTGTATGCTTTCAAATCTAGCCTTTGCAACTAAAAACAGGCCCTGTAAGTTTTAAACAAACCTCATACAAAAAATTGTATGTTAAAAAATATTTAAATGTTTTATAAAATCAGAGTCTGTATTTAATAATGCTATTATAAATATAGATATATCAACTATCGTCCATTGCAATGTGTATTTAAATAAATACTTGAGTTTATGCTCAACATATTTACACACGCTTGTATGAATGTAAAACGCGTATATCGTTAATTTCGAATTGCATATTAGTCATTGTTTTTAAACATTCATATTTTACTTATGTATGTTGTTCCTTAAAAATAAAAAAAATAAAATATGTATATTTAACGCATAGAAAAAATATGTTTATATAAACGGCAATTTTCGTGTTTAAATTCAATTAGAATTAAATGTATTTCTTTCTCATATACATATGTATATCTACATAAATATTACATATATTCTAACATAGACATGTGTGTGAGTGCGTTTAAAAATGCATCAAGCCAAAGCAAAGCACAACAACAACAACCAATCTCTTATTTCTAAATTATAATTAATGGAAATGTCTTATTTACGCAACCATGTTACATTCGGCTTTTAACCGTGGTTGCGCATGTTTGACATTTCCATCAATTATAGTTTAGAAATAAAAGAGACTGATTGTTGTTGTTGTAGCGACTGTAACTGATGCTTTGGCTTGATGCATTTCTGAACGCAACCTATGCATACATATGTATATTTATAAAAAACGAGTCGCAAATTATTTAGTACCACATCCAAGCATCTACATCAAATTAACTGCATACTAAACCTAGGTAATCGTCCATCAGTGTGCCGATTGCGAACTATGAGCATAGAAGATATATATAAGAAAAGGTTTAACTATATAGTTAATTTACACTTACAATACCAGTGGCATCCACACGTGTACCGACAATCTTTAAGCGTATTTTATCTTCACCAGAAATTACGACATCCTCATCTTTTGATTTGTAGCACGGTGGATTGCCGTTTGGACAGAATTGCATGTCAGCTGGTATAGACTAAGTGGAAAAGAGTCCATAACATTAATATGTGCATCAGAAAAATGCATTTGTATTTTAAGTTGTGTACATACGTGATGTGAAATGAAACACGATAGTGGCCCAATTTCAGCAAACATGCCTACCTGCATTTGAAAGAAAACGTATCGTACTTTTTCAACATGTGTGTTTTTTTACCCAACGTACTTTGTTAATTTGCTTTACAACTGCATCCAGCACTTCTCCCTTGAACGGCCGGAATACAATCGCCTTATATTTTACTGGATACACTACAAATCCCTGTCCGGGCTGTATGACACCTGAGCCAATTTGATCGATTGTGGTCACCGCTATCACAAATCCATACTTCCCCGTGCATGTACCTTCTACTTCTGTATAAAGTTTCTGTTTAACCGTCTCCAGCAATTGTGGACCGAAATAACGCGGATGCAAGAGAATCTCATGCTCGAGGGAGATCTACCCATTAGAAAAATGCCATCTCAGATAAAGTAGGTGAATTTCTCAGAACTTTACTTACGTGGTAAAACATTATAAATTGCTGGTATATTTAATGAACAAAAAAGCACAAATGGTATTTTAAAAGCAAAAGTGCAAAATATCAGCGCAAAATTGTTTATTAAATCAGAGAAAATTGTAAACAGCAGCGGCATTAATTTCACTATAGTCAATTGTCAAAGATGACAGCAGTAGAAGGTGGTCAGCAGGGTTGCATTATGGGAACAAAAAATAAGGTCAAAATTAAAGAAAGTTTTCAAATCAGTGTTGGCAAAATGTTAATCTGATTAAGGTTTAAAAATTACCGATTAAAATGTTTATCGCGATTAACGACTAAAATTAATTAACCGTAATAATCTGTACGATTATTGAATACATTTTTTTAATCGTTAATCGTCGGTTGTGATTAAGATTAATTAATTTTAATCATTAATCCATAATCCAATTAAAAAGAAATTCTGATTGAGTAGTCTAGTTTGTTGTCCCAATTTGAAACCAGACAAGAGTTATAGTGATTCTTTTGTGTTTCACGCTTATAAAATATACAAAATATTTAAAATAAAAGATTGTGTTGTTTATTGGCCGTTTAGTATAATTTAATTTAATGCGCAGAACATTTAATGTTTTATTTAACATACGGCCTATAGCTCAAAAATAAATTATTAAATAAAAAAAATTTTATTTTTATTAGTAATACATAAACAGGGAATTTTTACAACCCATCGCACATGAGCAGAAGGATATTAAAACCTGGTTTACATAACGTCTGTTGGAATAGATTTTAATGAAAATGCACACAAAATTGCTTAAGATTGATGAGGAAAACCGACTTAGCCACCCTCGATTAACTGGTCTTGTGTGCGCAGGAAAATTCCAGCGTAAATTAATTAATCACCAAAACTACTTAATCAAATTAAGGGTTAATGATTAAACATTAATTTTTTTTAATCGCGGTTACGATAAGCTGTTTAACCAGATTAAAATTAAATATGATTAACTGTAATCGGATTGAATTTAATCGAATTAACTAATTGATTACAGAATCAATCGATCACTGCCAACACTGATTCAAATATAAAATTGGAACAAATGCAGAATACCTACAATTCTCAAACAAACAAAAAATCATATGGGGATCGATAGAGATCATTGAGATGAGCATAGCGGTATATTTTTTTGTTTGGAAACAACAACTACAACAGTTATTAAAGGTCAAAGTTCAAGTTATCATGGATTTTAATGTCATTCAATAGAGAATTTAATTCTCTTTAATCTGATATATGTACATATCGAGCCCTAATCGCCAAAATAACGTAAGCGACATTTTTTTCAAAATTTTCTTTTTGATGCAGAAATGTATCTAGATGCTCTAGGAATATTTCTGCATCAAAAAGAAAATTTTGAAAAAAATGTCGATTACGTTATTTTGGCGGTTAGGGCTCGATATGTTATAGTTTTCACAAAAATCGAATTAATGTGGGAAAAAGGTAAAAAGTGTTTTCGTGTATAACTTCTTTCGGCGTAGGTGGCCTTCGGCCGCACTTATGGATTGTAAAAGCCTGATTACGCCAACTTAACTTAACTTAACGGACCGTAGAACTTAGAGAATCAAAATGAAATAGATTTCGACGTGGCATTAAGTTACTTTAAGTTTCGGCTGTTCAATTATAAGCAACACCTATTTAACAATATGCTTAAGAGAGATCCGTAAGTTACGTTAAGTTGCCATAGTCAGACCTTTCTGTATTGCCAGAAAAAGAGGCCGAAGTATTTATGCGCAGAACTTCTTTTTGAGTAGTAGAATTCTCCTTTCTGTGTTGCGACGAAAAGGGGCTGAACAATTTTCTGCGTAGGCGGCTTCGGCTGCACTTATGGATTATAGCCCTCACAAAGTACAATTCTCTTTCTGTGTTGCGAAGAAAAGGCACTGAACATCTTTAACGCTGAACTACAGGTTCAGTTATGTCAATATGTGGCCCTGGCGACTGAAGACAGCGGAGGAGAAGGAGGGCGGTGAGGAATGCAGTACGATGAGAATCCGCCTGCTCAAGCAACATGAGACTACTGAGTCGACACCTCCAGCCCAACTACCAAACGGAAAATAGTCCTTCCGTGCTTGACGGACATAAACCTGGAGAAGGTCGCGGTCAAAGTCGCTAGCGAAGTGAAGTATCTGGGACTTATCCTCGACATAAAACTTCTGTGGAAGAAATATGTGGACGCGATCACCTCCAAGGCCACAAAAGCTTTAACGGTGTGCAAGCGTCTAGCGGGAAAGTCCTGGGGATGGACTCACAGGATCATAAGATGGCTCAACATCATGAAAGTATAGCCAATGATTACCTAGGGGCGGTACCTTCGATTTCAAGAACTACTCTAACGACAGCGAGATAAACGCTCACCAAGCTACAACGGCTAGCATGTGTATGCATAACGGGAGTGATGCGCACATATCCGACGATGACGCTGGAAGTAGTCCTTGGGCTTGAGCCTCTTCTTATAACCATAGAGCAGGCAGCCAAAATACCTCTGCTTAATATTGCCAGAGAGAGAGATTTGGAAAAGGTAAGGTCATTTCCTCTAGGAGTGTTGAGAAGCAAGGGGCCTCGCTCCCACTAGCCCTGCTCCCTAGAGATGACATAGGCGAAACCATAGTTTTGTTTTAGAAGATATTCAAAATAGGGCTTTGCAACAAAGCAACCTGGAGTGTCTCCGCGTTCGAGAGACACAGATGGCTCGAAGACCCCAGAAGGAATAGGTGCTGGAATCGTCAGACCCAGAACCAGGACTTCTGTTCCTATGGGGAAATGTCGAGCATCTTTCAATCAGATGTTTCCTATGTGCGGATATAATCATGAGTAGAGGGTATAGAAACGAGAGAATCATAATGCTAAGTGATAGCCAGGCGGCACTCAAGGCCTCATGTTCTATGAGGTCAAATCGTCGCGGGTCCTTGGGTGAATTGAGACACAATAGCATCAAGTTAGCGTGGCCACCTGTCCACAAGAGAGTGGCGGGTAACGAGGCGGCTGACTGTCTCGCAAAAGAGGCGGCAGTCATTAGTCCAGTTGGCCCCGAACCCTTCCTAGGAGTGGACCCCAACACTCTAAAGGAAGAGCTTAGGAGGGAGAGGAACATCATGAGGGATCTAAACTGACAGAGTTCGTCAGGAATGCGTCAGGCAAAGAGTTTACTGCGAGGGTATAACAAAAGGAGATGCCATAGTTTTAATTGATCGCCGAAAAGAGAAGCTTAGATTAAGGCAGGCTGAGAGGACAGCTATACAAGCTGGGGATATGGTCAATCGACCTTTGCCGGTTTTGCGACTCAACCATCGAGACGTGAGAGAAGTTAGGCTCAATGTGGCCACAGTTTAAGCACATTCACTCCCTATTCCCAAAGGTAGAGTGGAACTTTCTCAGGAATTTAGATTAAGCGGATGTATTGTGAAGAGTGGAGGGCACAATAGATTAATAGATTCCGGTGCAAATGTCATTTTATTATCTATATATCCATCTATGAAACCAAGTTTTTTTAAAAGCTGGGTTTTATATGGAAAAATGTTGTCGGTTTTCCAGGTTGGCGATTTTAAGCGCATTTTTCAATTTGAAGTTTGCAGTGGCAGAGCAGCATTTAAAAAAATAAAAATAG